TTTTAACATACAAGTTGGGGGGGGGGGGCAAATGCCCCCCAGTCCCCCCTTGTGCCCCCCACGAAATCACATTTTGCCCCCCCAGGAAAAGTCCCTTTTTCCTAAAATTATACAAACAATCCAGCGAAGATTAACAAATAGATAAACGGAAAGTAAGTTTTAGGCTTTATCCTTTGTTCTTTGTTTAACAAAATCGATTTAAATTGTTACTTTTTTTACCACTAAGCCATGATAAATTATTGTTAATATATTTTTGGATGCTCAGAATGCAGAAAATAGCATTTCACGGTTTCAAATTTCAAAAATTTTCTTGGGATTATCCCTCTAATAAGTAATGATAAATTACAGTTAATATTCTTTTTTACTTTTTGTGCATTTTTCCATCTTTTATTTCAAATACAACTATAGTTAGCATAAATTTTAGAGCAAATTTGGATGCTCAGAATGCAGGAAATGGCATTTCCGTGCTTCAAATTTCAAAAATTTTCTGGGGGAGTACACCCCACACACCTGACCATTGCTATCCTCCTCTAATAAGTAATGATAAATGATGGTTAATTTTTTTTTTACTTTTTGTGTGTTTCTTCCTTTATTTATTTCAAATACAAGTATAGTTAGGATAAATTTTGGAGTAAATTTGGATGCTCAGAATGCAGGAAATGACATTTCCTGGAGTCAAATTTCAAAAATTTTCTGGGGGAGTACACCCCCAGACCCCCCATTCATGCGTGGTATATTTGCCACACACGTGGTTTTCAGCCATTGCTATCCCCCTCTAATATATTATCTCACAGAAAGGTCCCTTTTCAAAAAATGCCCCCGACGGGAAAATCCTTAAAAAAGGCCCTGGTTTGTATAATTACCATATATTATTTATAACCAGAATAATTTTGTATATTATTTGTGACGTGTTCTGTCTTTGTAGTAATAAATTTACGTGGTGATTCCACAAACAAAAGTATTATAAGAAAGCAAAGACTCGACAATGGAATTCTCGCAGTTTATAACCTTTCAAAGAACTTTTACTCCAAAACAATAAAATCGAATGGAAACCTATGATGGAAACTACACTACAGGGAGTCTACACTATCATTAACAATTACTTAGCAAACTTGCTTGAGCAGCCAATCGTATGCTCCATCGTCTCACCGCGACCCAAATAACAAATTACTTCGAATCACTGAGCTATTAGCGAACATCTGTTAACAAACATGCCTGATCAGTTGCAACCTTTTCTAGAGGCAAAGTTAAAAATGTCATCTCCTCGCCTTTCTTTTTCAAACGCTTTAAAACTTGGAATCATCTTCTTGATAATCATACAATTAAAGGCTGACGATGAACAGTTTGGTGATATTCAAATGCTTTTCCGTCAAGTTGATAAAGGTGGGTTTGATAAAAAAATCTTCATAAAAATTGCGTTTGGCGCTGAAATTGAGTTAATGTGCAGTTCTACATAAAATTTGGAGTTGCATTTTTAAAAATGCAAATGTACTAAAGCTCCCGAAAATATTCTCTAAAAAGATGATTGTCGTTTTCCTTTTGGACCCTCAGGGAATAGCCAACGATCATCAAAAATATAATAAATTTTTTTGTGGGAAAAATCCTAAACCTTATTGTTGGAGGAGCATTGCTACCAAAAAAGATCCGAGTGAGGGTTATATTCTTAAGTTTGCTCGAATTAAATTGACTATTCATGAATTCCCTGTTACGTGATTTGAAACAGTTAACGCGGACGGCTAGGTTTTCGATCCATTGAGCCGGTTACGCATGTCAAATCTTCCCTATAGAAACGTAGAGGAAGGTTTAAGAGACCCTAGCCTCTACCTCTATTACTCTAACTCTTTGTCTATATCGCCTTCGCCATTAAAAATTTTTGCATTAAATCGCGGTACGGGCCGGAACGACAGACTATCAATTTCTTTTAAATCGGTAAGTAAGCTTTCCTTCCAAAAATCCCGACATTCTGTGTGTCAAAGTATTTTTTCGTTGCTGAAAGTTAAATTTGGGGCTTTGGGGTATGCGAAAGTGGACGTTCATTTTTATACTGTATATATATAGCCGGCTGCTGAAAGTTAAATTGCAGTAAATTGATTAATTTCAGGAATGGTGAAAAAATTATGTTGACAAGCTATATTGATTCTAATGTTTAAGAGATTTTTAAGCCAGAAAAGCTATTTAAAAGACATTATCCATACGTGGCCCCTCCCCTTTACGTACCATCGCCCTATTAAATTTTAACCATTATATCATTTCTTTTTAAAATATATTTTTTATACAATTTTACAGGTTACAGACTAACTGGCAGCGTCCTGGCAGAGTTTAAAGTCTTATCCTTGTTAGATTGTGCTCTACAATGTCTGCAATACACGTATGAGATATGTGTAGGCTTCAACTACAAATCAGTAATAAAAACTAATGAAGCAAACTGTCAATTAGCCGTCAAACAGCCTGATGACACAAGGGACTTAGCAGCCGAGAAGGATTGGACATTCTATCAAGTTGAGGTAACATCAATTAATGCATCCTGTAAATCATTCCCCATGCACTGGACGTCCGCCATTTCAGTGAATGCCTCTCATTAATCTCATTAAGAAGAAGAGGTTATTTCGCTGGCCTCAGAGTGACAAAACGTAACAAAGCAACGGTTTTACTAACACTGACCCTATTCCAAACACCAACTCCATGCAACTCTGATCCCAACCCTAACCTAACCCTACTCCAAGTTCGTTTCTAAACCAATCTTGAAGAAAATGTTTTGACGAAATGTCATTCTGAGGTCAGCGAATTGACTTCTTAGCGCACTGGCTAGGACCATGGCGTCAGCAGTTTGATGACGAATTACGGTTACGTCAAAATCATAGAAAAAAAAACAAGAAGTTGGGCTTCTGCATTGTCTCTATTCTGTAGTAGGGTTACGCTTTTTTGACTGAGTCGCCCTTCTGTAAGCTCTCCATTCTGTGACTGCACTTTTATCGTTTATATTTCACCGTTTATTATACTGTGCTATAGAATCCTTGTGTCCCAAATCCGTGTCACTTTGGTGATTGCATCCCTGGAAAGGAGGAATTCAGCTGCGTCTGCCGTGCAAATATAGTTGGGCAGAAGTGTGATAGATGTAGAGGTAACTAGAAAGCTTAATGATACGCCCGTCTACTTGGAGCGAGGGTACTAGGGGTTCGGTAACACAGGCTAGGGTATGCCACTCCAAGCGTCATTTCCGTATGGTCGTAATGTCGTAAAAATAGAGTCACAATCTTTCTCAACGGCCAGTTTATAATAGTTTATATATATATATATATATATATAAAAAGTTGTTTGCAGAGAACTTCCAGTTAAAGATAACAGCCGAAATTTGCCACCAAACCGTCAACTTCCTCGACTTAACTTTGAATTTACATGAACAGAGTTACAAGCCTTACCGGAAACCTAATAATGACCCCCTTTTCATCAACAGTCATTCGAATCATCCACCATCAATCATAAAGCAAATCCCGCTATCAGTGAACAAACGTATTTCGCAATTATCATCCGACCAGAATGCCTTTTCAGCCGCTGCACCCATGTATGAAAGCGCATTGAACCACAGCAACTATCATGCGAACTTGCATTATACCCCAAGCAACAACGGTAGTGGTAATAAACGAAGACAACGAAACATAATTTGGTTCAATCCACCGTTCAGCAAGAACGTAAGAACAAACGTGGGCAAGATCTTCCTCAGTTTAATTGACAAACATTTCCCACCCTCCAATTGCCTTCATAAGATATTTAATCGTAACTCGGTGAAAGTAAGTTACAGCTGCATGGATAATTGCAAGAGTATAATTTCTAAGCATAACACCAGAATACTATCAAGACCAAAATCGACAACCCAAACATCATCATCAACATACAGCGCCACATGCAATTGTAATAATAGCAACGAATGCCCTCTTCAAAAGAAATGCCTATTAGACTGCATAGTTTATAAAGCAGAGGTGGTAACCAACAATTCGGAACCTAAAGAATACATTGGCATGACGGGAAACACCTTTAAGACACGGTTATATAACCACAATAAATCTTTCAATAATGTTATATACATGCAGGAACAATACGGAGCTCTCAAAATACGTGTGGAACTTAAAGGAAAAGCAGCAGGACTTCACGATTAATTGGTCTATCCTAAAACGAGCAGCCTCGTATTCCAGCGGTGGAAAGAGATGTAACCTTTGCCTCCAAGAGAAACTTTGCATTTTAAAAGCGGATAAGTCAAACTTGCTAAATAGAAGACGCGAGTTGTTCTCGAAGTGCGTCCACCAAAAACGATTCTTGGCCGAAAAGTTTGAACGTGCGCAAGCTCAATCACGCACGCAAACTCAGTCACGCAAGCAGCACAACGGATATCAACGTCATCAAGCAGGAAAAGTTAGTTGAACATACATCGTCGCCTGAAGATCGTGAAAACGTGAAACTCAGAGTTGCGACTTAATTAATTTTAAGTAGAAAGACAACAATTATATATATATATATATATATATATATATATATATGTATAAACGCGGAAATTCCCAGTCGCTCTTGAGTCTTGGATTCAATTGTAATCATTATTTTCCCCTTTCTTGTTACTATTTCCTTGTCTATTAAATTACAAATGTACTAAAAAGACAAGGTTTTATTTAAAAAAGCCGCAAATGAAGCGATATTATTCATGAATTCACCTTGCGATTTTCCTGAAACACGCCATGTCGGCCTCGCTTGCGAAAATGACAGGAAACTGGTAACAAGAATGCCAAATGCCCGACCCTTGGGAGCAATCTCGTTCCCCGAGCCTGCGATCCTCGGGAACGAACGTGAGGATAATCCGTTGCCGGAAGCCAGGAATCCTGGCTAAGACCGAACTGCGCATTCCATATCAACGACCAATCAGATTCCTCCCTGAAACGGTTATCCCAGAGCCTCACGTTCCTTCCAGAGGATCGCAGGCTCGGGGAACGAGATTTTCTTGGGAGCTTCTTTGATGTCAAATAAAATAAAATCCCTGACCCAAAAGCAGGGAAATCAGGTCAATTCCCCTGGTTAGGGAAATTTGGTATTACGCACTCAATTTTTAAGCAACCGGCCTCTAAATTGCACCAAATGTTGCAATCTAAACACTCTACCTATTATTTGGTGTACCCATCTTGCTGTTCGCGCTTGGAATGTACAATTGACTATAAATTGCACACAATGGAATGACCATATAGAGATAAAATTTCCAAAAACGGGGAAAAAACCCAAACAAACCCCCCCCCCCCACAAAAAAAAAACACAAAAAAAAAACAACAAAAAAAAACACAAAAAAATAACCACAAAAATACATAACAATAACTTACACTATGGTGTGATAGATATTAGACATATACTAATAATCAGATAAACAAATTAACAGGCTACAAATTGAAACAAGCAACAATAAAGACAAACGACATGCTGATATATAGTTCAGTCACAGAATAAGAAGTTATAGCTATACCTTCCTATTCTGTGGTTCAGTGTTGAAGCCTGCGATTTCCTGTGGCGAGGCCGACATCATGGCGTGTTTCAGGAAAATCGCAAGGTGAATTATATGAATAATATCGAGATCCTCATTGAAATTCTGAACTCGTGAATGAAATATTTGAGTAATTTGAAGCTGTTAAAATTATGACAACCTTAATTGAAAAGCTGTATACCGGATTTTGATATTGTTCAATCTTACATAGATCCAAATCACAACTTTGCACTGGAAAAACTTACAGCACAATCCACGACCTATCACGAAACCTATCACTCCCATCTGGCTGTTGATGGTAATACTGGAACGACTTTAAGAAACCAGCAAACAAATCAACCTCAGTGTGCCCACACAGACAGAGGTTCGTTAAGTAACCCTGCTTGGTGGAGAGTTGACTTCGGATTAGCATTAGATCAAATTTTCATGCGACAGATAGCTCTATATTTTAGTGGATACGTGAATACGCAGTCAAGTAGTTATTTTGAGATGAAGGCGACATGCAGCTAGTTAGCATTAATAGAATCAATTCTCATGCTATAGAGAACTTAAATGTGGTGTAATATGTAAATATGTTCCTCACAACCGGACATTGGTGTTTGACAGATTATGATTAATTAGCGTGGCTGGGAGAAAAAGTTTTGTATTATAAAGCATACTAAGCATAATATTAAACATTAAAAGTCTTGCATGATATTTCCTTTATAGAATTATAGTATCAATTCGTAATATTGTCTTAGTAATTAGTTTGTGTATATTAGAACGATGCAATAAGATCTGGTATATATGTATCCAGTGAAATAGTGGCCGGGCTACATAATATGATATTACTAGTGGAAGGGTATTCTGCAATACTTCTATTTGTGGAAAGTGGACTTGATGGTCGCTTTGAATCTTCCAGTATTTCTTTGCACGCTAGTTATCTTATCCTGATTCTCTTCAATTGGGATATATAGTTTTAACTCGTAATAACAGTTCTGGAATATTTTCGGAACCAGAAAAACAAGTTTGTAGATTTACCATGGCATCGCGAAGCAAATCGTTCATCTTTCTACACGTGGTTGAAGAAGAACAACGTGGAGTGATGGATATATGGTGCACCAGTGGGTTATGAAGGGATCCATCGATAACGCGCAAAGGCCCTGGACGCTAGTCAATGATGCGTCCGACTATCAATGAGGAATCCGACTGTCTACAGAAATTGCATCGCGTCATGCATTAATATTGCTGCAATAAATCATAAACAATGACACCCATATTTCATATATACAGTAATAAATCTTTCATATGCAAGACAAAGGTCGCATAACAACAAACCAGATTGAACGCAAAAGCATGCATGGTCTACATAGAATTGCAATTTTAACTTAATCGTAAATCGCAATATATTTCAGCATTTTCTTTTGCGTCAAAGTAATTTCTGTTTTAATTCTCTGAAACAAAGCAGTACGCTTAATAGTTAAGTTCAGTATATATGGTTTGAAAGGAAAGCAGCGAATTCCTTTAGTTTCCACTGGCAAACTGGCGGCTGGCACTCTGGCAAAACTGGCGCACTGGGCAAAACTGACTGGCGCTCCGGCAGTTGATGATAAAAAGCCAAAAACGTAGATAATTTTGGCGTATGGCATTCAGAGTCGTAAGACATATATAGTTTGTATAATTACCATATATTATTTATAACCAGAATAATTTTGTATATTATTTGTGACATGTTCTGTGCTTTGCTACACACTGGCTTAATAACATGAAGATCCGGGCTCACGGATCGAAAGCTTTGCAGTAATAAATTTACGTGGTGATTCCACAAACAAAAGTATTATAAGAAAGCAAAGACTTGACAATGGAATTCTCGCAGCTTATAACCTTTCAAAGAGCTTTTACTCCAAAACAAACCTGTGATGGAAACTGCAGGAGTCTACACTATCATTAACAATTACTTAGCAAGCTTGCTTGAGTAGCCAATCGTATGCTCTATCGTCTCACCGCAACCCAAATTACTTCGAATCATTGAAATTAAATAGCGTGCTATTAGCGAACATTTGTTAACAGACATGCCTGATCAGTTGCAACCTTTTCTAGAGGCAAAGTTAATTAAAAATGTCACCTCCTCGCCTTTCTTTTTCAAACACTTTAAAACTTGGAATCATCTTCTTGATAATCATACAATTAAAGGCTGACGATGAACAGTTTGGTGATATCCAAATGCTTTTCCGTCAAGTTGATAAAGGTGGGTTTATAAAAAAATCTTCATATAAATTGCGTTTGGCGCTGAAATTGAGTTGTTAATGTGCAGTTCTACACAAAATGTGGAGTTGCATTTTTAAAAATACAAATGTACTAAAGCTCCCGAAAATATTCTCTAAAAAGATGATTGTCGTTTTCCTTGTGGACCCTCCAGGGAATACCAGATATGCAGCCAACGATCATCAAAAATATAATAAATTTTTTGGGGGGAAAGATCCCAAACCTATTTTCGCCAAAATTTCAGGAATGAAAAAATTACTTTGACAAGCTATATTGATTCTAAAGTTTAAGAGATTTTTAAGCCAGAAAAGCTATTTAAAAGACATCCATGGGTGGTCCCTCCCCTTCAGGTACCGTCGCCCTATTAAATTTTAACCATTATATCATTTCCTTTTAAAATATATTTTTTACACAATTTTACAGGTTACAGACTGACTGCCAGCGTCTTATCAGAGATTAAAGTCTTATCCTTGTTAGATTGTGCTCTACAATGTCTGCAATACACGTATGAGATATGTGTAGGCTTCAACTACAAATCAGTAATAAAAACTAATGAAGCAAACTGTCAATTAGCCGTCAAACAGGCTGATGACGCAACGGACTTAGCAGCCGAGAAGGATTGGACATTTTATCAAGTTGAGGTAACATCAATTAATGCATCCTGTAAATCATTCCCCACTGGACCGTCCGCCATTTTGAGTATTACAGTTGATTTCACGAAACTTTGGCCACGCCAGTTGCGAGATTGGTTGGGAATTTGGGAATTATAAACACGAGAATTACAATAAGTTTTATTAATACAATAAGTTTAGTTTTTAAAATTTACCGTCAAAATCGTTTGCAATTTGCGAACTTGCTTGCGAACTTGGTTCGGAATTTCATAACGAATTTCGATAATTTGATGCGAAACTTTCGAATTTGATTGGCCGGTTTCCAATCAACTGCTTGATGATCTTGTCACTTGTGTTTATAGTTCCCAGATTCCCAACCAATCTCGAAATTGCCGGCAAAGTTTCGTGAAATCAACTGTAAGGAGAAGAGATTATTTCGCTGGCCTCATGCAGAGTGACAAAACGTAACAAAGCAACGGTTTTACTAACACTAACCCTATTCCAAACACCAACGCTAACTCCAACCCTGATCCCAACCCTAACCTTTTAACCCTACTCCAAGTTTGTTTCTAAACCAATCTTGAAGAAAAAAGTTTTGACGAAATGTCATTCTGACGTCAGCGAAATAACTTCTTAGCGCACTGGCACATTGTAGATAAAACATACAGAGACGTAACTGACCGCTGTAAACACTGCGGAAGATTACGTTATCATGTACCCACTTTTTTTCAGGCGACCGGGCGAAAAATGATCAACTGCGCGTGCTCAGCAAGTTTAAAGTGAGTCGTCATCAGGTCGTCATCCAATCAGATGCATGCATCTAGTAACTTGCCGAGCATGCGCACAAAAAAAGTGTGTACACTAGTTACGTCTCTGTATGTCTCTACTCTGTGTATACGGCGAGTAATTCAACCAATCAGATTGCAGAACAGCTCATATACGGTGAATGACTATATTATATATATATATATATATATATATATATATATATATATATATATATATATATATATATATATATATATATATATATATATATATATTTATACTACAGCTGTTTCTATTTGGTGAACTGTACTGTGACGAAGAAACGAATTATTTGTGTTGACGTACTTGGATAAAAGCAGATAAAATAAGTTACAAGAATAAAATAAGTTCTCTCTGAGTAGCCAATCAGGTCTTTTCCTTTGCTCGTCGAGTCCAGAGCCTTATTTTCAACAAGAGACTGAGTGAAAATGGCTTTGGGGAAAAGAATAATGAGAACCAGAGGAGGAATGAGGGTCTTCCCACAATGCACTGCGGTTCATTATTTTCAAAATTGAAATTCGCGACCACAGATTGTGAAAAATTGTGGATGGTTATCTTGATTATTTCTCTGAAAATTTTCTATTTTCAAAGCTTAGATTTCAGTAAATATATTAATTGTATATCGAATTTTTAATTTTTATTTTTTAAAATTTCTATATTGCGTTTTAGTGATGCTAATCGCGTATTGTATTAACCCTTTTTACGGGTCAGAGTACAAATCACGAAAGTGGCTTTGATATTATGCAGAAGCTATATCACTTTTTTTCGTGAAAAGTCAAAATAAATCACAGCATCGAATTCAGGAAGAGTTGTTCTATCTTATGATACTTTAAAACCAAAAGTAGCTCGCCAAACTGACGGAGTAATCGCGATTTGAAAGTGAGGTAATTTTTACTGTGTTCTGAAATATTGTTGATTTTCATTTCGTCTTTTCTCTCTGAAAAATTTATTTTTTCGAAGGTAACTTTTTATAAATGTATTAATCGTGTATCGAATTTAATTATTCTTATTTTTAAAATATTTTTGTATCGTGTTTTAGTCACGTCAATGGCCGATTGTATTTGGCCTTTTTTTTAATCAGAGCTTAAATCACGAAAGTGACTTTGATATTATGCCGGAGCTATATCAATTTTTTTTGTGAGAAGTCAAAATAAATCACAGTATCGAATTCAGGAAGAGTTGTTCTATCTTTTGATGCTTTAAAACCAGAAATAGCTCGCCAATCCGACGGGCAACCGCGATTTCAAAATGGGGCAATTTACTATACTCAGTTGTGGGTGGCGGGAATTCAAAACTGATATGGCGCGAAGTCTTCACGACTATTTCATTATTTATAAATATATACTTTGAATTCATACATTCATGATAGACTTTGTTGCAATAAACTGTGAGTCATGAAAGCCCCCCAAAAATGTATGTTGTGTAGTCTTCGAATTCAAGTGTTTGGCAGGAAAATGTTAGACTTTTTCTTGCTCTATTTAATTTTGGACAAGTGCATATTGAAACATACATGCAGATTTAATTACATTGCAGTAAAAGAACCATTTTCCTTTCAATCTCCCTAAATATGTTTTCCTTGCATATGATCAGAAGCATATCAGTGACCTTTATTGAAACCTTTTAACATTTTATATTGTATTTTTGAAGTAGCTAAATACAGTAAATAATTTCTAACACAACTCTATGACCATTTATTTGAAAGATTAGAATAAAAAAATGCAAAAATTGTTTTACTTACACTTCAACATAGCATGCTTCTTGAGCACAATTTTATTTAATAATACAGACACAACAAGTTCTGCTGTAAATGTATTTATAAATATTTGTAAAGATGAACAGAATAACAACTGCAGTAAATGAAGATGGATGTTGTGGATGTAAATATACTACCTGACAAGTATACTGAGGTTTCTAGCAAATGGTCCTTCATTTAGATATACCGACTACAAAGGAACTAACCTCCAGACAGAGGGCCTCTGCTTGAAATATCATGATTCGATCATTCTATATATTTTCAGGTGTACCTAGTTACATCCAAAAATACATCTTACTTACTATTGAACACAGCTAACATCGTACTATAATTGAGATTGGTTATTTCAATTATTTCATAAAATTACAACACATTTCAAAAAAATCATCTGTTTTATATTGCACAACCTGTGCACAGTCAGATATGCATGCAATTTATTGTCTTCTTTATCAAGCACGATTATAACAGTTCCATTAATTGATGGGGGGGGGCGACCAGTGATGCATATTGAATATTCAATGCTGATCACGAACAACCTCCACCAAGCAAACGGGATACAATGGTTGTTGGAAGCAATGACAATCAGTAGGCTGGTGTAAACTTAGTGTCACATGATAGGTGGTACGTGGCATTAAAATAGACTCCTCCTGACCAACATATTACAACATGGTACATCTCCAAGCTGATGCCAGTGATCATTGGTGTCGACAAACTATATGATATAAATTTGAAATATTTAATTTAAACAAATAATGACTACAATAATGACTACTAAAATACTACAGTTGCCATTGAATAACAACAGTTAATCAAGAGTTTATAAAATTTTGAGTAAAATCTATTTGCAATTAGATTTTTTTAATGTTTCTTAATGTCAAAAACTGAATTTATTATAAATTTGGTACAACATTTGCAATAATTTTGTATGTAATTTTCTGAAACACTATTTGAGTCATTTTATAAATAAATATATTGTCAAACTTAAATTATTTTGATCTTTTTATTCTAAATTTGTGTGCATAGCTCTACTGTACGATACATATATATAAGTATAAATCAATATTGATCTTTATTACCCTTTTGATTACTATATAAACTGCAGAAATATTATAATTTAATTATTTAAATCATCTTACCTTTATAAACCTTTGTTAATAACAACACAAGTTTAGTCACCGTCAAGAAATCATTTCGACAAGTATTAAAAGCACAAGGCATTCAAACTACACGTATCCGCGATGATCCCAAAACGTTGTTTCGAAAAACAACGAACAACATTTATACAACAAAAAGTCGTTTCCATCCCAAACCAAAGGTATATTCCGTGATACAGACGGTTTCTCTTTCATAAATTGTTGTTGTGTATACAGCGACAGCTACCCGAAGAATGAACGGGGCGTGGCGAGAAATCGATAATATATAAAAAGCCGTGACTGGCCGCATTGCATGCCGGTATAGTCCTCACTCCTCCTCTGGCTAATCAATGTAATACGATTATATAAAAAACAAACACAACTATTATCGTATTTTAGGTATATTTTAGGTTTTTCATATTAAATTAATATTAAATTTAACAATTTTTTTATTATTAACAATTAATATTAAATTTAACAATTAACAATTTAAATTTAACTTTTAGTGAATCGTTTATCCACAACAAAACAACAAAACAATATTTGCTGCCGCAGCGAGCGAGCCTGAAGCGAGCGAGCAAGGCAGCAGATCCTAATTTTGTTTTGTGGGTCGAAATCAAAATTTTCTATTTGGCGCATTGCATGACGTTACCTGTGAATTTTAACCGTGATGCAGCGTGGTCAGGCATAAGGCAAACAGGCAATGTGATCATGTTTCATCTTTGGTCTTCTTTTATGGAAAGCCATAGCTGGCTTAAAGTAATCAAACGGCATTTTGTTGGGTGCTTTTAGCATTATACGGCGGTGCTTTTGGCATTATACACGGTGCTTTCGCCATTATACGCAGTGGTTCCAGTATTATACGCGGTGCTTTCACCATTTATATACGCGATGCTTTTGCAATTATACGCAGTAGTTCGAGCACTATATGCGGTGCTTTTAATATTATACGCGATGCTATACTTTCATTCAACATTATTTCCATATTCTTTCCATGACATGTATGATGTATATGATTTAACGATTGCTTAAATTTGGTATGTGCATGGTTGACAAATGCTTTTTGCCTATGGTCTGCAAGGACAATGACATGCTTTTCTGTGTATATACATGTAAATGAATATAACGCAGCGAATGCGCCAAACAGTATAAAGGCGGCTGAAATGCGATATTAAAATCTTAAATGTGCCGTATGATTTAATTATGTTTTAGGATTTACAAATGCTTTGTCATTTGTATTTATACTTGTACTGCATCACAAGGCAGTTCGTACTGTAAGTGAAAAAACTCCACATGTGAGATTGTCTTGTATATATTTTTGCTTTCTTTGATAAACA